ACGCTAGTTTGGAGAATAAGTTCGTTTAAATCAGTACTGAAAATGTTTCCTCGAATGTGCGAATGAAACACGCTTATCTTCCCAGTGCTTTTTCCTTTCTTACTTCACAGTATATTCCTTACTTCACAGTATATATACCGTTTATTTCTGTTTACATCACTTTTGTATTTCAATAGAAATTTATGTGAAATAGAAAATTAATGACTGTGTACTTGATTTATTTTTTAAATTGAGTAGTTCACCTTTAACGGATGATTTAACAATGCTTCTTATATTGTAAATTGTCGAACAGTCAAGACCTGGATTTACATTTCTAGGCTAATATAGCGTTTATTTATATACAAAGTTATGTAGAGTACTTATATTTAAGAAAATTTTAAATTACATCTTATCTAAAATGGAGCGAGATCCCGCATCTGTTTTCGTCCGTTTCGAATGTCAATCCCTTTCTCAACTGCTGGACACCCATGACGGGAGAAAAGTCCATCCCTTTCCATGAGAGGTAAGGAGAAATCTCCCTGACCCTTTCTGAGGTGTGCGCAAAGTTCTGCCGACCAGTGCGAAAATGTATGACCAACCGTTGAAAATAAAATTCCAAACATGGTAAAGCTAAGGCAGGGAGTTCTCTTCATGTTCCCTTGCTACTTGTGTAAAAGAGCCGTTAAATATATTCTGGATTACGTACAGTTAATTAAATTACATACTGTTATGGATAAAAAAAACTACTCTCAGGTATTATCATGCATTTAAAGTATCACATCTTAGGTAATACATGCATAACATCTCAGATACCACATCATTGCTGTCAGAACTGTTTAGCCCAAGCAGTTTTCTTTACCTTTTTCTATTTCCTGTAGATATTTTTGTTTTATGCTGATAATTTTTGATAAGAATTTTTCCATCGTTTCACAAAAAAAATGTTTAACTTTTTGTAGATTGTGTCTGGTTAATTCTTTGTCGAATAATCGTTAACTGACTGTATACCGAACACTGAATGTGAAATACGCTCATGGATAACATCAACAGAGGTATACTTCTATGTTTTGCATAAAAGAATGCAGACACATCATAGCCATTAAAAATAATTGTAAATATGAAATATGTACTCAAATTGCTCATAAATCTTAACAAAATAGTAATTTTTTTCTTTTTTCACACAGTGTATACAGAGTATTGATATAATTCAAATACTCTGTATACACTGTATGAAACAATTGTGTATAAATTGTGCCTGATATGGGATTGCAATTTGTCTGAGACACAATATCATAAATATTGTGTCTCAGAAAGATAAAAATTAAAAATGTGTTTTTTAATTTTTATTTTTCTGAGAAAGGGAGGGATTCCACAAAATAAGATTAGAGTTTGATGGGATCCCTGAGGTGACAAAGTTTAAAAAGCTACTGCTTTACATGAAGGAATGGAAGAATTCTTTAGAAACTTTCATTTTTTTAGTGTTAAGAGAACTTTAATTTTGTCTTTTCGTCACCCTGGCCCTTTTAGCTTGCCCAAATTTGGCTAAGAAAGTTTATTAAGAATTTTATTATATAAAAAGTTTATTATATAAATGGTAAAACACTCAAGTTCTCGATTCTGAATCATCCGAAACAAAGTTGTAAGTAATTAATCTGTCGAAGGAAAAATTCTAAAAGGGAATCGAATAACCACTATTAAAGAAAGAACACTCTAAAGGGTGTTCTTTCTTTAATAGTTAAAAAAATTCTAGCAGGAAATCGAATAACCACTATTAAAGAGAGAACACTCTAAAGGGGCGACATTTTTAATAAAGGTGGTAAAGATAAGATACATTTCAAAATGGTTTAATTTATTTCTTTTTATTAATTGCTTGACTTCAGTATGAAACTCACCATTCTTGTTGAATTAAAAATAACAAAGCATGTTTTCAGTCATTATACTCTTGTATGTATATCGATTACGTAATATAAGTAACGACCCTGCACTGGCGGATGGACAGTTCATAAAATTTATACAACAGTTCATAATAATTTCATAACATTTGGGTTTGAGTGTCTCAAACCAGTTAATGGCCAAAGTGGTTAAAATCGAATAATAACGGTAATTTGTCGTGCCTTCTATTCCAAGTATTTAATTTTCTTTAATTAAATGCATTAAAAAGTAATAATAATATTTTAGTTATCACAACATTCTTCCTTATTTGTTCCTAAAAATTAAAACACGTGGAGATTCATATAAATCTATTCTATTATCATATTAATATGATTTTAAGGCATGATAAAAGAGATAAAATAAAAAGATGTATATATAATTATGATGATTACATGCATTTAAATTTCTCTTTAAGAGGTTTGATTTAAAATTTCACCACTGTTAGTAACTCCAGATGTTTATTTTTAGTCGCAAATGACGAAAAATTATTGTGATAATTACATAAATTATTTTTTCGTCTTTAGTTTACTTACTGTACTAAAACTGAGTAATTAAAATAAAACATTAAATTAATTTTTTTAAACATTTAGTCTTTTTAACAGAAAATTTAGTTTAAATTTCTTTCTGAAATGAAAGTTTTTTCTAGAACTAACTGAAGTACAGTGAACTGAAAGAAACTGAGAAACTGAAAAGAATTTAATCACTAATAAAATATCGAAGAGTCATTTATTATATTTTTTCCGCATGGATCACTTTCGAAGAAGTCATTTGTTCTTAGCCATTCTCTGAATCTATCTTGACAATAAGCTACATTGTGCACGTTTCTTGAATGCAAAGAATTTTAGAAGCAATCTATAAATAACAATTATCCGTTGTGTAAACGAAAAAGAAAACAAAGCTAGCTAAAAACTACTACTGACTCCCTAAAAGTTCAAATCCTGGTGGTTTTTAATTTAACCTGGAAAGAAAACAAAGAAAATTGAACAAAGCCCCGTGATAGACGATTCCTTTTTCTCGGCAACCAATAAAAAGAAGATAGCTGTGATAAAGAATTCTAGATGCATCTTGGTCCAATAAACTTTCTGGCTCACAACGCCGGAGGAAGTGATAACAATTTTCGCGTTACTTCAGTAATTGTTTTGTTCATCAGCCGCAGAGATCAGTAACATTTTGACTTCCAACAAAAAATCTGCTTTTCACTAGTCTTTGAATATAAATTTCTGTGAACCATCTCATAGATCACTTCTGTGTGACCCGTATTTTTAGAAGCATAAATTAATATTCTTATAGAATATCACCTTCCCAGGATGATCAATCCCACTGAATACCCAAATGATTTGTATCCGTGGATGACCTTCTTAAATAGGGTTCACTGTATTTCTGACATAGCTTCTTAGTTTTACTCGCTCGAATATCCTTTTTTTACCTTTCTAATAAATGCACCGAAACTGGGGGGGGGGCAAAGCATAAGTTATACTGTTTCTTTCAGAATATGTATAATGATATTCGCTCTCTGTTCTAAAAATGTAATTTATTTCCCCTTTAGACTTTTTCAAACCTATTTTTTTTTTAAATTCGTAATACATTTAGTCAGTTTCCATTATAGCTATGTCTGTGATTCCACTATAGTATTCCACTATAGCTATGACCCCATATGTGTTAATGGCTCACTGACGATTACTCCTGACGAAAGATGCAGAAGTGTTTTTCTCTCTATCAAACAATTAACAGTATAGCATCAATATACAAAACATTCATGAAAATTTTCAAAACTTCACAGCGTAACTTTAAGGAAAACTAGAGGGACTATAAGATACAGCTCATAAGGTATTTTTTATTTTTCCCGTCTTTACCTCGTGCCTTCGTGGGACATCTGGAAGCACACTCGATGCGTATTCGGGAGGTCCGGAGTTCGAATCCCGGCGAAGGCAATACACATTTTTCACGTCTCCTACTCCTCCCCCCAAAAAAACCTAATAACTCTCTAGTGGTGCCCGAACTAAAAGGTGATGGACGATAATTCATCACCACCAGGATTTGGCGATTGCGTCCTCTCATCCTCAAGTTGCCCTTTAAAAGAGGGAGTATCTATAAAGCATTTTCCTCTCTTTATCGCGTGCCTTTGTGGTGTAATTGAAAGCACACTGGACGCGTATTCGGAGGTCCGGAGTTCGAATCCCGCCGAAGGATTGCACATTTTTCACGTCCCCAGCATCAAGAAAATGTAATGACTCTATAATCTAATACGAACGTATTTGCTATTTCCTAAATTACTGCGCTTTATCAAACAAAAATATTATGATCGATCGGTAATCGAAGTTAGAATTATAATGATTGAAATAGTAAATTGTAAGTTATGAGGATCTATATATTAAACAATAGCAGAAGGTTATTCTTATCTTTCAGTTATATAAGAGATAACGCAGTTCTTATTATCACCAAGCGGCATTTATTCGTGTTAACGTATATGAGGCCTTATATTCAAATGTAATATAGGTGACTTGTGTCCGTTTTGTCAAATGTAAAAGAAGAGGCTCAGTGCATTTTAAAATACTTTACCATGTTTCAGGTTTTGGCAATTATTATATATTATGTAAAAATGTTATAATAAATTTTTCCCTGGTAATTTAAGGCATTCTTCAGCGTAGCATTATTTTGAAAAAAAAAAAAAAAAAAAAAAAAAAAAAACAATATGTAACCTTCAGAGCAAACTTCCGAAATTAATACTTTAAGTTCGTTGTCTGAAATTAAAATCCTTACCCGAGCTTTCACTTTTTTCTGTCTTTTAAAATGAATACGTATTAGTTATGTTTATCACATATATGTAGTATACTTGTAAGTTGACTTAATCTTATCCGCAAATAATCAGGATGAATTATTAAGTTGATTACAGTTTCGTACTTTAGCAAAACGATATAAGATACCAGCCTGCAATTAAATTCTGGTTGTATCAATGATATATTTTAGCAGGCATAATAGTAGTGGTTACAAATGCGTGAGAAATATTTCTTCAATTAATAGTTTCAAGTTTAATTTAGGTTAAATCATTTATTTCCGAACGCTTTAGTGATACACTTTTTGTTTTGTTTCAGAACTTGAAAAGAAGAGTATGCAACAAGAACTACTGAGTAAGTAAAACAACTTACATTTCTTATTTAGACAATATGGAAGAGATACAATTAATTGACAAGTGTAAAATCAGGCAAAATCAGTAACCAATACAAAACTAAAATTTATTTTTTTCAGTTTTAAATTTGATTAGAATATTGAAGTTATATACTGACAGAATTAATCTGAAGATTGTTTGCTAGGCCCGATTTAGCCAGTTTGAGGCCTAAATACAGTATGTTTTCAAGGACACTCAATGCCCACTCTTTTTGCTTTTGTAAGTGAAAATTAGGATTAAAAAAAATGTAGGAGAAATTTAAGACCTCTTAAAACATGGGATCCTAAGCCCGAGTTTTAACAACGTGGACCTGGCTTTAAATGCCCACATTATTTAAGCCTGAGCTTTTAAGATGACTGCTTAATTATTAAATTACTTTTCTTAAAAACAAAACAATGGTACCTTTACGAAAATTTCTACATGGCGAATATTGTAAAGAGTCCCTCTCCTTGTGAAGAATTATTTTATTTCCCCTGCGTACTGTCGTGGTCAGAGTTGTTAGTATATCTGCTGACAATTGGAATATTGGTAGTTTGAATTCCGGCAGAGCGCAGTTTAATTTTTTGTTTCCTTGTCCTAAAAGTCTAATGGTCTATAGTGACTCACATCGTTTAGGCCAAGCTTTAGATGATGTGGGCCTGTGCTGTATTCAAATCCTGATTGTTTTTGATTTTGAACTGCTGATATGCGAAATAATCTTGGAAGCTTCTGAATATGAAAAAAAGAAAACCTACAGCAAATGAATAACAATATTCTGTTCCTAAAACATTTAGTAATTTTCCTGAATATTTATATTAGAGCGTATTCTTAATTCTAAATGCAACCTTTATATTTCATTATCACCAACCACTTTCAAGAGAACTAAGAAGTTAACTCATTTAGGAATTTGCTCTTAGAATCACTTCCTTTTTATCCATTGCTTTAATAAATCGTTTAATGAGATCTAGTTTTATAAGAAGCTGAGGTAAATAAATCTTTTTCTTATTCACAAAATGCTTCACGCGCCGTATATTTCTCATCAGACAAAGTATTTTCAAATAGATGTCTTTCGTTCTGGATGTAGATGGTTGCTCTTGCTCAAGAATTCCTTTAGCATTAAGAACAACAAGATTTTGTAAAGCTTACTTACTGTTCTATCAGTAATGAGACAACCTTTAAATCTGTGCAGAGATTCCCCTGACAAATTTCTTAGTTTATATTTTGAATTAAAGATCAAGTGCAGCTGTAGACAGGTAATCCGTTTTATATCTACCACTTGAGCTACACAAACAGAAGGAAATTCTTTCTAATTATAAAGTAAAATTGCTTTTACATTTATTTTGAACGAATTGCTGAAACGTTTTCCGCTTTTCGAAATTACATGACAGCTGAATTTCAGCCAAGGATCATCAAGATGATAATATTTTTGCTCGCAGATTCTAAAATTTTATCTTTTTTTTTTTTTAAATTTTAACTTGATTTGGTTACTGTATTTTAACTCGTTGTAATAAAATATCTATAATTGGCCTATGACAATGCTTTAAATTTAAGGACTTTTTTTGCCTAAAATTGCCTTTTTTCCTTTAAAATTATTTTTCAATATCGGTTTGTTCTACATTATTTTTAAAGCCAATTTAATTAATCAGGAATAATATTGATTTCAATTACACAGAATTTATCCATACTTTCAAATTGAGAATTTGTTTGCACAGCAATATATTTTCCGAAAAGATATTGAAGTTGTTGCTTGATTTTGACATCCAGACATACGAATAACAAGAGCTATTAAAGAGGATACCAAACCATTGGTATTTGAAAGAAGTGAAAGTCACAGTCACTACCTGAGTTATTCAGCCCTCTTTGAATAAACCAGTTAGCTAGAATATGCTTTCATAGTTACATGATAAAATTCAGTCTATAATGGTTTTATTCTTGTACTATAATTCTTTGTATTTCATCGTTGTCTTCTGATTAAGAATTATTTAGAAGCCACCGGTTTATACTCAGAGTTACCATATTTCACATAGTTATACCCATATCTTTATAAAGGCTGATTTTATCAAGATTAAAACCTTTTTCTGGCTTGATGAATGTTGCCTATCTGGGTAAAAATGCTCGCACCTTTATGACAAAGCGTCATTATGTTCATGTACTGTTAGTAAAATCCCTTGTAATACAAATAAGTAAAAGCATTGCATGTACAGGTGTTATCCGCTAAGAGTTACTTATAAATTTCTTCGACCCTAACTGCAATCGACATACACAATCACAGATAAAAATTAAAGAAACCTTATTTAACCGTTCCCGTTGGCTCACCACTAAAGTGAAAATTTACAAAATTAAAGGGTCGATTACCTATAGACGATAACTGGTAACAATTAGGTGGCGTGTCTTGAAGCACACAAGTAAAAAACATAAAAATCATCCGAGGAAAAAGAGACACTTGGTTTCATACGTAGTTAATCACTATAGAAAGGAATACTTCCCAACTTCGGACGGCAGCGGGAATTCAAAACCCAGAACAAATTAAATGCTTTCCAAACGGATCAATGCTAGTAAACAGGCATAGCAAAGAGGCTTTTCGCTCAACAAAGCATGAGTTTTGATAGCCTTCATTAACTTTTAAACGTTCTTGCACGTGCTTTGATTTATATAACCTTCTGGTCTGTCTGAGCAAATTATGTAATGTGAATCAATGGGAAAATAGGAGAGTGCTTAAATTAAGCTTTACTGTTAGTAAAAATTAAAATAATTGTCACAAGAATGTGTGCTCTACCTTTTAACTGTCGAAAATAGTTTTCATGAGCCATCCTACCGAAAACAGTATCTTAAATTGCTCCGCCCATATTAGTACGGATAAATAAGGCTTTAGTGTACATCCGACTCTGTAATTCTCTTAGTATAAATCCAGACACATGAAGCTCACAATGTTGTCTAACTATCCATAACTTCTCTCGAGCAAAAGGGAAGACATCCATACACTCGTTAACGCACAGCGACAGCTGATGTGTGGGCCCTTAATAAGGCACGGGAGGATGGTACATCCGCCTTTTCTAATTCGATCAGCCCATCTCGCCCTGATGGACATCTTCTGGCAAGCGGGTAAACGGTATTATTGTGTTCCCGTTGACAGCCTTTTGAGTCACTTCTCTGTAAATGGGAGTGACAGGGTTTTGCAGTGAGAGAGGTCTACTCCCTCCATCTCCCGCTTCTCCAACTGGCAAAAACTCCTTGCTGAAAGCACCATTAAAAAGGAAATGGCCGCATTTGATGGGTTTTTATTTCTTCTTATGGCTATACCGTCCAGCATGTTTCCGCAAATAACCTGTTCAATCTGTTATTACTCTTTATTTGAGTGTTCAGCTGAGGCACGCCTGTTCGGAAATGCCGTATTAAACACAAAACAAATTGAGAACTCGATAGCAGGGAATCTAATATCTTTTTATCTCAAGTGTATTTCTGTTAATATGCTTTAAGACTAATTTCACGGTAGTTTTAACGTTAGGAATGTCCGCGGCTTTCTTTTTTTTTTCGTCGTGTTACATTATATTAACCTGACAGTATATTAATTGTCTACGCACTCTGGTAAGTCACAAATTCTTAAACATATTGCCATTCCACACCTGTAAGATTTTTAGTGACATTTCATGTGGCTTGCAGAGATGCCAATTCTAACAGTTATTGCTATTCCACGCAGCAAATAATCTATGATTTCCTTTTCAAACTACGACATTTATTTAAAGCGTGAGCTGTTTAAAAAACAATATAAGTATTTCTTAGATTTTTTTACTTTTCTTTCTCTTTTTCTTTTATCTTTTAAATTGTAGCAGTACTCTATTTATGACTTTGTAGGGGAATAAAATAAGCAAGGGGAGACTCTTTTATTGCGACTACCTTTTTAAATAATATCCTTAAAAGTTCCGAATATTTCTGATAACATCAGTATTGATAATTATAATATTATTCTGAAAAATGATCATTCCTTCATCTTATCGAGACCAATGTGAATTTATGCGACTAACCAAAATGCCTAATTTCTCTGTTAAACTAAATTATTTTTCATATTAAATAAACTGAAGAATCGTATTTTTTATTTTCACTATAAGATCAAAGCTGTTGTCAGTTATTTGTGGATCATTAATTTTATCCTTTTCCGAATCAGTCAATTTAATGACTCACTACATCAGAGTTTCTTAAACTGCGGATCGCGGCCCCAATTGGGGTCGCAGCACCTTCAGTAGGGGGTCACCAAAAATTTTAGCAATTTTAATATTTCTTTAACTTACTATAATAATTTTACAATTATCAAATATTTTTGCATAATGTAAGATAAAGATAAAACAAAACAAAGAAAAAACGAAAACGTTTCGACGCATTTTTTTATAATAAATATGTTCATTTTACTTAAAAAAGTTAATGACCTAAAACTGCAATAGTATATTACAAGTGAAGAAACTGACAGTCTCACTCACAGGTGTGTCGGATCTGCTCAATACTTATGGGGGATCCAACAATATTTTTGTAAATATTATGGGGTGTCCAGATCAAAAAGTTTAAGAAACCCTGCACTACATTATTAAATTGCTCACGCTAGCATTTTCGTTTACGGTGTCCACGATTTCGTAAAGTATAGCAAGCCAATATTAGAGTGACGCCAGGTCAGTTAAATCCTGTTTCTGAAATTTTTATAATCTGCCTGACATAATTGCAAGGAAATATACTTTTAATGGAATTATAATTTTCAACATGCTCACGTTCGCAGATAATAACGCATTGCATGCGGGAGAATGTTGACAACAATGACGAACGTAAGATCGCAGGAAAATTGACCTCACGTTTTATGATATTTTTCAATTCTTACAAATCTCATGGATTTTATGTCGAACCAGAACAAGATATCTATAGGAGTGAGGTCAGGGTATCGCGGTGGCCACGGTTACTTGAGATGACTTTATCTTGAAACGTTGTATACTTTAAAAACTT